GTATTGAAATTCAATAAAGTGGAGATAAAGAACTCACAACTAAAATAGACGCCAATGAACCATTTAATTAATATGTTCACTTTATATTTTTAGATGTTCGAAAGTATCTATGATTCACTGATTACTCCTGGTATTGTATAAATCGGTTTTTGCTCAATATCTTTTCATGTTAAAAATTTTATGTGTTTGATATAACAGTGAAATGAAAATATCTCCTGAAAGAAAAAGATTAGCAACAGAACAACAATGACAATTACAAGACCAAGTTGAAGCAAGATGATCATTTAATAGACAAAAGTATCTGAGCGCCTCAGATGAAAGGCTTGAACAAATAAGACCGCAATCTAAGAAATGTGGGAGTAAAATAACTGTTTAATTAAACTGTTCATTTTGCCTGGGAACAAATTTTGTATAAATACATACAAATATTTTATTTGTATAGATTATTAAAATGGTTAAGAGAAGTAATCACTTATAAATTTAGTAACTTATTTACCTTCTTCCAACTACAGATGAAACAGGAAATATATGAATAAATAAATATATGAATATAAATATATTTCTACTCTTATGAAAAATTTAAATTTAAGTCTGAATGGATAACAATGGAAGAAAATGAAATTGGAAAAAAAAACCCCAAAGAACATTCACTGAAACTCTTGCATGCAGTTTGACATTCAATAATTTTTTCAGTATAAACAACAGACAAAATTCAATGATTGACAGATAACATTGATGACTAAGTCATGCAAGATGCATATATATAAGTAAAAAAGATACATATATTTAAATAAAGATGCTAAAATTAAGTAATAAAAAATTAAGTTGTAAAAATGAAAGCATGTGATAACGTTTACCTTTCATTGGTCAATAAAAGATAGGTCAGAAGGTGGACACTGTTTAACCATCCTCAGCTTATCAAGTGTACCATTTACAAACGGCAAAAGTTAGTTTAGAGAGGGATTTTAAAATGAACTTTTTATAAAGATAAGCAGGAAATTTACTACATGTCAAGAAGTTGATTTGGATTTGTAAAAGACGATTGTATATTCTTCAATCTTGGAATTAGAAGAATATTAAATCAAAAAGAAATGTCAGATATAAAAGATTCTTTTAGGTCAAAATTAATAAAACTAGATAAAATGAAGGTCCAAAGATTATACATCATACAACTTTGTTTTTCCTCCAGAAAATTTCTCTTCCTGACAAAAATATTCATTAGAATCATTGATATATTTATATTCAAACTATTTAAATGCTGGAAATTAGCATGTGTGCATTTGTGTGTGAGAGAGAGAGAGAGAGAGAGAAAGATTTCAAAGCATAAAAAAATAGTCACTCCTTGACTTTATACCAAGTTAAACGCATTTTCTGAAATTAGAAGTTTTCAAATCAAAATCATAATTAGAAAAACAAATGAAATCTAGAGCTGCACTTCATCCAATGGTGATCCTGAATTGAGGAAAGCACAAGCGTGAATGCTTTCAAATTATTATAGGGACTCTCTCCTGATATATATATATATATATATATATATATATATATATATATATATATATATATATATATATATATATATATATTTATTTCAAACCAAATTACAATAATTTATTTCACCAAAATCCTTTTTGAAGGACTCTGGATCATCAGGTAACACTTCCAACAACGAAATGAAAGGAAAAATGGGATTAGAAATTGACGGGTAGTGAAATTTTTGTAATTTAACAGGGAGGGTGATAATTGTAGTTAACGAGACAAGGTAGAGTATAGAGAGGGGTAAATTTCATATTTCTCTTAAGCATGTTTTATATTGGGGTAGGAGGAGTGACCTAATCGTGACCTATTTAGATGGTTAACTTAATGGAAATGATATATAGGAATGGGAGGGTAGTGGGGGGAAAAGAAAAGGAAAAATGGAAAGGAGAGAGGAGACAGACAAGTAATACAGATATATCTAAATGAGTGTTATGGCAAAGAGAGAGAGGGAGAGGGAAGTGAATCGAAAAGGCTGTAATTTTATTTAACAAAATTATGTAAAAGATAGATTTCAATGCTTGATAGAAATTTAGATGTCTAAAAAATGATGAATGTTATCAATTTAAACATTTAGTTTTTTAAGTAAATAGTTTAGGGACTTAATATAAGTTAACTACTATTTTTATTAGCACATTTATCGAGAACATATTAAAGAAATATTTAAAATTATAATAGTTTATTTACCCGACCAATTGTACTTTCATAATATTGTAAAAAATTTTGCAACAATAACATCTATATTAATTTTACTTTAAATCTAATTTATGAATGCAATTTTTCTTTATTATTATATATGGGTAAACTTAATTAAGGTTTAGGTTTCATTATTTAATAATATTTGAGGGTAATATTAAAGATTTTGTTTTCTTCTTATATGTATCTCACAACATATTCATGCAAATCCACATATACATATGTCCATAACACTCATTTAGATATATCTGTATTACTGTTGTCTATCTCCTTTCCATTTTTCCTTTTCTTTTCCCCCCACTACCCTCCCATTCCTATATATCATTTCCGTTAAGTTAACCATCTAAATAGGCCACGATTAGGTCACTCCTCCTACCCCAATATAAAACATGCGTAAAAGAAATATGAAATTTACCCCTCTCTATACTCTACCTTGTCTCGTTAACTACAACTATCACCCTCCCTGTTAAATTACAAAAATTACACTACCCATCATTTCATTTCATTGTTGGAAGTGTTACCTGATGATCCGGAGTCCTTCAAAAAGGATTTTGGTGAAATAAATTATTGTAATGGTACCTTAAAGTGGTCTATTTTTTCATTAAATATTAGCTCTGGATTCACATTGAGCTCTCAGGATTTCATCTTCCTTGGAATTACCCATTCGGTTTACCAAGTTCTTCGTAACTTAACTATATTATATATATATATATATATATATATATATATGTATGTATGTATATATATCTCCAAATCTAAGATTATTTTATGAGAAAGAATCAGTTGCAGTTTACTTCAGATAGCAACGGAACTAAAAATATTTGTTACCAATCAAAAATTTCACTTTTCTGACTACACAAAGAATTAATGCATAAAAGCTGCTTACTTATAAAAACAACTCATGAATAATTTTTAGCAATATTTTGTTGAAATACATGAATAAATTTGGATTTATTATCACTTAATATCCTCTCCCCAATCTTTATTTGGAAAATTCAGGTCTCAAAGTCATAGAAATAAGAGATATCAAAAATAGTCATAAAATATTGAAAATATATCGGAAAGGGGAATATTGAAAATATATCGGAAAGGGGAATATTGTTAATATGTAAAAAAAATAGACCCCCCCACCACCACCACTATCCAAAACAATTGAAAAAATGCTCGTTTTCTTTGGGGGGGGGGGGTTTAACACTGGTCTTTATAAATAATTTGTAGGTCAAAAAATGCTTTGCCAATTAGTGACCATCATCATACCAATTTACTTAGTCATTTGTTGCACTTATTTTTTTTGTAAATATGAGAACAAGGAGGAAATTGAATGGCTGAAATACTAGCAGTAATTAGGAGGAATGAAAATCTGTCTTAATAAGTGAGCCCCACAAAGTCATAAATATTGATATTTGCCAGGGCCCCATTAGTCATATGACAATTTTAGGTAATGTTTGGTAAGAGTATAAAGGTTGTTTTTAAGCACACATTACCTAGTTAAGTCATTTAGAACATAAGAATCAGATATTGCTGCCGCATTTTATCTAGTGCTTCTACTATGTATTTAGAGATTCTTGATAAAATATAAAAATGAATTTGCAACATTATTGATCCTGACCTGGCATCTCACCTTCCTTCAGTCAATTTCTCACCACTATAACATAACTTCCCTGTGCCTTTTTCTATAAATATTTTCATTTTGATGAACTTTCTTCTTTGGTTCCTAGACTTTATAAATTTAAGCACACTACTAGATTGGCAGCAAGGTCTTATTTCATAGATGAAATGGCTACATGTAACCATAAGTTCTATGCTAACAGTTTCTTCTCTCATGGAACACTCTTCCGACTTCTTGCTTTCCACTCAAGTTTGATCTACAAAAATTTAAATGCAGTGTCAATCGTTATCTACTGTTTTCTTAATTCCTGTTCTTTTATTGTTCTCTCCTCATTTCTCTTTTTTTCCCATATTTTTTCAGAATCAGTAAACCCTTGATTAGTGGCTTTATTGCCTTCCTCGTGGTGAAATGATAAAAAAAAAAAAAAAAATTCTTCCTAACATTAAATTATTTAAAATCCAGCCTAAGATAGAAAAATATTTATGATTACCAAAAACCAGTAAAATGAAAATGCATGAGAAATATTCAATGCACAAGGCCAGGTCGTTCAATTTGATTCTGGGCAGATGTGACCTCATCACTTTCTCTTGTTTTTTTTTTCTTATATTCATAGTACTGACCTCATTTGCATATGTGTTTGAGGATTGAACTCACTATCCAGGCATAATAGATCTAGCAAGACAAACTTGCTAACCATTACACTACGTGCCCAGAGCATCCTTGATTATATTTCTACATTGATATCATTTTATGTAGCAGTATTTCAGCCACCATCACTTTTCCTTTTTTATTGATTGTATTTGCATTATAACTACCAATAACCAGTAGATAATGATTTAGCTATTTTGCTAGTATTCAAACTACATAATACCTACAAAGCTTACTGACTGATTGATTCATTTTCTACAGGTTATCAACCCTTTGCCGGTTATTTAAAGCCAGAAAATATTTTAAAATTGTAAGAAGTCTTTTTGCAATAATAATGATTTAGTGAGACAAGATTTACTAATTAACCCATATCTGGGGGAAAAGAGATGGCTTCATACCTTTCCCAAGGGTTATTTGCATGTAAATGAATATAAGGAACCTAACTAGAAATGGAATTTGTCTCTTTGATTAACAATTGCAAGCTATTATCTATTACACCACTTACACATGTAAGATTACAGCACATTATATTCCTAAGTGGTCACACATCTAGATACTGACCAAGCTCGATATTGCTTAACTTCAGTAATCATACAGGAACCAGTAGTTTCAATGTGATATGGCCTTAAGCCTTACTAGCCACAGAAAGATATAGTGACAGTTATTTTCTCATCACATACTTTGTTCAAACTTGCTTTGTTGAATTTTCATTTTTATATAATGGCAGCTCATCTTGACCATATTTTTTTTTTTAATTTTTTTAGGTTGGTTGGGATACATTTGTGCCATAGGTACACAAGTGCATAAATAACCTCCTCAGAGGCTGTGGTATCAAGTGTCTGGAACTACTGTTGCACCTCAATAATGTCACCTATGTGAAACTGCTTCTAAAATAAATGCCGTTTTAGGGTCCCAAACAGATGATAATCTGAAGGAGCCAACTCAGGACTATGTTAGGGAGCCACTATTCTGTCAGGATGGTCATGGGTTTGATAGGCAGTAAAAATTATTCCCTTAAATGAACAACCTGGTCTCTTTCAACAAGTAACGTCTGTGCAGTGTTTCACAGTATCTGACTGCACACTGTCTGACCATTTGTTTTGAATTCCACAAATCAGCACACATTTTGCATTCCAGAATACAGTTGCCACCAATTACTTTACTAACTCCTGAACTTTGAATTTTTAATTTTTTTTTAAAATGGGGAGGACAGGTGATGCACTCAGTCCACATCACTAAAAAGAAATGCCTATGTGCTGGAACTTGTGTTTTACAGATAATTTCTTTGAGATACTTTCTGATATACCAACTTCTCATTTCTGATCTCAATCCATTCAGATCATGCTTCACAGCCTTATCACCAAGTCACCACTGTCATTTTGAATCAAAGCTTCAGTGTGCACAATGTTGTCTCCTGTTGTAGCCTAATGTAGGGCATCAATATTCCTCAACGAACATGGATGCCCTACATTAGGTTCATCTTACAGATCAATATGCCTCGATGAGAACATTCTACACCAGACTCATACTTGCTTCTTGATTATTATATATATGCCATACACAACAACAGGTTCACAGTGAATATCTGTTGCACTTTTTCCCCTGGTTTGCAAATATCTTATTAAACCTTTTATGGTAACAGTAATCTTTGTTGTGATATCACATATGCAAATGCACTGAAGAGTAAGGCTGTTCAGGCTGTTACAGGAAGTATGCATACCCCATGTTATTTTGTGTTACAGTTTTCACAGTGTTTTAATTCTGGTTTTAAATTATACCAATCTGTACCTTACTTTTTGGACATCCTTTGCATCTTTGGTCCTATCATAGTATCATTGTGTTTAATATGCACTGACTTGGATATATCTGGGTAGATATCATCCCATTATTGTACTTTCATGTTCATATGATCCACATGAAAACTATTCAATTTTAGATACATAATTCTTTTCTCCTTTATGGTAATCTTCTGATGTTCTGGATAACTAACATATTAATCAAGCAAACAACAGAAAGGTATGTCAGAAAATATCAATTCTATAATGCAAGCAGCAAGAGAAATGTCAACATTGCAAATAACTCTTTTCCTAGAGTTGTACAACAACAAGTTCAATTTAACCAGCAGACACGAAGAGAAACTGAATTTTTATACTAAATATTTCTATAATTAAAAAACAGGTTTAAGTTGGTTACTTAATCTATAAAGAGTAGCTGGTCTATGTCAAGGCTGACAATAGGAGTAATAGTTTTTGCTGTTACTGCCTAGACAGGTAAGACAGAATTTCAATGAGTGTTTTTTTTTTCTTCAACTATTTTCTCCAACTATTGTGATATGCTAGTAACAAGACCTTTGTGAATATATCCAGCAAGGATAAGTAGATCCGTGCCTTTCCAGAGGCTAACAACACAATGCAAACATAAATTGCTTCAACCAGAATTTTGACCAATACCATTTTCTAGGCTAATAACTAGGAATAACCTCATCAAAAACATACATGTTCAAATACATGGATGTGACAGATAGTAACAATTTGGGAGGAGCTAATAGTTTCTGTAATCTAATACTGAGGTCAATAAGTGCAAACAACTCCACTGGTAAAAGATTTATTGGGGATTAAGGGGATTTACCATTATCTGGCTGCCAGACTTAATTTGTGGCTTGGGCTGTCACTATTCAATTAACACACTCACAATGTTTTTTTCTCAGGACAAAGAACAACATCAACAAGCAAAGCAAACACAAAAAACACATGCAAAAAAAAAAAAAAAAAAAAAAAAAAAAAAAATTAAAATCATAATTTTGGTCATTTTTTTCCAAAACTGCAGAATGAATAGACCTCATTTTATTTTAGGGGGAGCATTAGCCCTTTTAGAAGCGGCCAAACAAAGCAGATGTGCATGGTGGGGCACTTTTAAAATGACTTCCTTCATTTATAAGTAACAAGATTTTGTGGAAGACATTTTACTTCATTTCCAGTGGCTTTAAAAAAGACTAGTTTCTAGATTTTAATGATTATTAGCTATAATTCCAACTAAGATAAGGAAAGGATTGTTGTTGCAACTCAGGGATAACAAAATATTAAAAAGCTATACTGTTTCAATAGTTTAAAAAAAAATTCAAAATTGGGATGAGAATCATTTTTATTCTTCCACCAAGTGAAAATTTTAGCAAGGGAGTCACATGACAAAAATAAAATGACCATATTTATCCAAAGTTCCTTATAGAATGAAAACATCATATAAAATATGTATTTTATGCTTTTATTATTAGAATTCCATGGTTTCTTTTTTAACACCTCAAAACTAAATTTTTTAAAGCTATGTCCCTTCAAGACATCGGCAACCCTGGTTCTCTACAGATTCCTGTTTTTTTATCTGCAAATTGCCATGCCTTCATGGGAAATATAGCAGAGTGGTTTTCTGTTGCTTTCTCTATAGTTTCCAGTTCAGAGCATGCCTTCTCTTAGATTGGCTCCACACATGGCTAGAAAGCCTAGTCTACTCTGCTACTTAACCACCCTCCAACTGGAGGGGTAAAAAAGAGATGGGTTCATGCCTTTTTCAAGGGCATTAGTGCAAAACTGAACACAACAGAATAGGCTATTAATGCTCTTAAAAAGTTTAAAATAAGTTATATTTACAATATCCTGCAAGGTTTAAAGAAAAAAATGACCCAAATAGCAACATTTTATAATTTTTCTATTTACTACTTTAGCTATTATGAACTTGATTGCATTAATTTAACAAGTGTTTAAGGGGTGCAGTAGTCCATCTGACCTTGGCTATAGATTCCTCAGAGGGCTTCTCTCCCTCTCCTTCCAGAGAGCTTAGCAGGGGGACATCAGGTCCCTGAAAGAAATGGTATAAGCAGTTCAGGTTTGGCCAATGAAGGCCTTGATTGGAATTCGGCATGTTACATACCTGACACTCTGGATGATGATGATGAAGAAAGAAGAAGAAAAAAGAAGAAAAGGGAAAAGAAAAAAAAATGAACTAAAAAGTAACAAAGAAGAAAAAAAGAATCAAGCCAAAAAGTTGTTAGTTTGAAAATATTTTTTTTTTACAAATATCATCAGAATTCATGAAAAAGTAAAAAATAATGTAATGACAAAAGATTTTCTTTGGTTAGACATACATTTTATCAAAACATACAAATTTTTCAAAGTCAGTTTTAGGCCTATTGTCCAATAAGAAATGACCAACACCAAGATGTAAACATGAAAACAAAATGTCCCAATTCCAAATTTCCAATTGAGTGATTTATTTCATTGTAATGATTCCTGTTAAGTATTTCAATAAATCTCCATTATAAATCCAGATTCCAAACAAGAAATACAAAAAAATTGAGAAACTAAAGCAGCATCACAAAATAAGGAATGACTAAAGCGAAGAATGATTGGATTTTGATAATAAAAAAAAGGCTAAAAGTAGGTTAAACTTTGATGAAGCTAATCAAAATGTCACAAAAGGCAGCTAACTGAAAAAAAAAAAAAAAAAAAAAAAAGAAGAAAGATTTACCACCAATACAGCAGGGTTGTTCTCCACAGCAGCCTCTTCATAAACATCAGCCTGCCTGCATATAATTTGCTTAGTTCTAATAAAGAAGAGATTGCATAAACTGATATTTCAAAATAAGATTTCAGGAACGATGAAAGACTATAATCTAAGGCAGTGATTCTCAACCTAAGGCACACTAGTGTGCCATGCAATCCTCTTTAGTGTACCACAAAATACTGTAACAACATACATATATATGTGTGAGTATGTGGAAGTAGTAATGGTACAGCATTAGTATTTGAATAAATGAATAAGTATTAAACTTTTTATCCCACATTAGCTAAAAAGGCTTTATCAGTTTTATTGCAATTTTATTGCAATTTTCTAGGTATGCTCTTTGATTTAAAAGTGGATTAGGCTTCATTTGTGGTCCTAGGTATGCTGTTGATTAAAAAAATCTCTGAGGTTGAGAAAATAGTGCCTCTAGGGAAAACGTATGAAGTGATACCATGGGATTAAGCATGGCAGAACAGATATAAAAAGAAAAGGGAATATACTGTGGTTTTGGATTGAGGTTAAAATAATAGAAACAATTATCAATTTTCAAGGAATTAATAAAATTTACATATAATGAATTATTCAAGAATTAATGGATTTATCATTAATCAGACATTTTTATTACTTCTAACATTATTTCTAGTAGATATCCATTTTTGAATAGATAGTTATGTTTTTTTAACAGTATGTAATACATACACTGGCCTAGTTTTTCTCAAAGACACATACCAGTAGATGTAATACATAGTGTTTCAAATAAACAAAAAAAAACAAAAAAAAAAACAGGTTGTCTATTCAAACACAGGTATCCATTAAAAATATTGTTTTCTTTGGTATAATTCTTTTTTGTTACTTTCTTGATGATGTAATTAATCAAAAAGAAAGCAAAAACTATGATGAGTAGAGAAAAAAACAGTCTAAACAATTCAGCTAAAAATCAAAATAAAATTAAAGTTCTTTTAAACTTTTCTGGTGAAAATATTAAAAAAGTTGTTCTTGTGATATCCATGCTAAAATCAATACTTATTCTTTAGGTCACACATGGCCTAGTGAATAAAATTGTTGCTTAAGTGGATCTAGTTATCTAGTAGTCAGGTGTTCAATTCCTGGGTCAGGTAGTACAAAAAGTCATATATTTCATCTTGGCACATGGAACGTACAAACTCTCTAGGACAACAACTCAGCACCAGAAAGAAAAACAGCTCTGGTCGCATTGGAGCTAAAGAAGTACAACATTGATATAGCTGCACTGAGAAGTAAGCATCAGTCAACTACATGAAACGAGAAAGCAAAATAAGACATTTAACAGTGTTCCTGCTGCACTTGGATACAATACATTCTCCTGTACTGTTTGTGGTCTTTTGTGCAATTCTTGAGCCAGTCTCAAAAGTCATGCCCATCATAGGCATGCAGTTAATTAGTTTGTAGTCTTTGGAACCTCATACGTCGAACTTGATGGAAGAGTCCATCATATATATATATATATATATATATATATATATTTAGTTGGATGTGAGTTTGTGACCCTGGGTTTCATGCCCTTGCGATCGTCAAACAAACTCCATATATATATATATATATATGTGTGTGTGTGTCAAAAAGAATTTAAATTTAAAATGACCAGCATCTCATTCATGCACATGTGTAGTCACATCAATGTAAACATAAACTTAGTCTGAAGTCCTAAAGGATGCAACGTATCACACAAAAACTTTTTCCACTAAAATTGTTCTTGATATATAAAAAAAAAACTTATTTTTATGTGTATATATATATATTTATATGGACACATACACATGCAATGGATAAATTGCTGTCTAAATTATGCAAAAATGAAAATAACATTGACATCTCATTTTAACAGATATATTTACCAAAATTACACAAACATATCTTGAAATAATAAAGAGTAAATTTACTCAATAAAATTGCCATTAGCTTCAACCACAGCCTCCAGACAACTTTGGAATCTCCTGCAACTCTTCTGGGTGGTCTCTTTGTTTAAGTTGTTGAATGCTGCCATAATCCTTGCCTTCAGTTCATCTTTGGTGTTATAAAGAGTTTTGTTGGACTCTCACTAAACTGCGCCCCACACAAAATAAAGGGGTTGCAAGTCTGGGGTGTTATGTGACCAGATGTAGAGGGTGATGTGGTCACAGAAATTGTCTGACAACCATGACTAGGTTCTCCTGCCTTTGTGGCATGGCAAAGAGTCCTGTTGCTAGACATAAGATCTTCCAGCTGCCACACTCTTGACCCAGGGCAGTAGGTCTCCGCATTGAGCCTGAGGCCCTTACCAGCAAATTCAAGAGTCCTTTTCTTATCAGAACAATCAGAGTGAGTTTTCTGAGCTGCTATACCTTTATAATCATCATTAGGCTCATCCAATTCTTTCCGTGTACTCTGCACTGTCCTCAGATTGATACCCAAACACTCTGAAATGTTCATATTGGCATGAATGCCAAGCAGTACAGCATGGCATTTCCAAATTTCTGGCAAAATGAATTGCATCATGGTGCTCTTTTTCTCATGGACAGTGCCCAACTGTTCCTACTATTGTCTGCAATTGACAAAATCAAAAACGAACAAACGACATGTGCGAAATTAAAAATATAAAATGGCAACAATTTACCCATCACACTCTGTACATATATATATATATATATATATATATATATATATATATATATATATATATGTGTGTGTGTGTGTCTCTGTGTGTGTAAAGAACAAAGATTTTATTTTGAAAACATAGTCAATTTCCATTTCACCCATCACACTCTATGTAAGCGGACACTAAGGTCAACACCTAGTGGTGACAATCTGTTTCATGTGCGAACACAATCATCAGACCATGTGTGAATAAAAGACTAAATGTTTTGCTGTTTCTTCATTTCTGGACTAATAAAATTATTGTCAGCTGGGAGGGCATACATTTGTTTTTGTCTTACTTAGAGTGATCGATCTTCTCAGAAGAATGTTAGGAAATCTACCTTCCTCCTTGCAGTTTGGTTGTTTATACAATTTCTTGTCATCTGGATGTACGTATATATTCGTTCAGCCAGACTGACTTATGTTTTATGTCATCACAGCCACTAACATTGGTGGATATGAGGTCACCTTCTAGATCAATTCTGAGATACCAAGCTTTTGATGTACTGATGTAACACTTACAACAAAGATTACTTTTGTAAGTCTTACGGTGAGCTCAGTACATACTAGGAGCACCACAGATCAATTCTTCTTAGATCAAAAAGGTTCCTTATTGATATTAAATTTGATTCAAACATCTGGTATGAATCATATGCTGGATATATAAAGCTATCCTTATAGCTTTTGTCATTACTGATGTTGAACAGTCCTTTTATTACCTAAATGAAAAGAGAAAATTAGAGACATGATGCATAATGATTAGCATGTTTTATGCTTGATGGTTGCTAAAATCAAGACACCTGTCCCGTTAGAACAATAAGAACACTAGGTGATCATCCCATTCTAATGATCCTTAGCACAAAATGACTAGCAAGGAAGTAAACAGTATTTGATAATATTCAGTAAATTATTCAAATTAGCATTCTCATTTTTATTGTTTAAATCATTACATTTATGTTGGTGGAATCTCCAGCCTTCCTCAGGAGCATATCACATCTAGACATGTAAAAACTCCTCCTCCCACTTAGCCAATCTTTCCCTCCTCAATAACTGTTGGGAATTTATTTCACTTTTGCTATGTGATTCACATGAAGAAATACAAGAAGTCTGAATTGAATTTAATATCAGTAAGGAACCTTGATCTAAGAAGAGTTGATCTGTGGTGTCCTAAATATGTACTAAGTTCATCCTAAGGGATACCAAAGTAAGTTTTGTACTTGATGCCAGTTCAGAATGTTAAATAACCTAAGAGCTCTGAAGGTTAACCTGGAAGGTTTCCTCTAAGACACCAAGTACAGAATTGGGCCTCAAAGGATATCAGTGGGTGCACCAGCATAAACAAGGATATGAACCCAGCTAGACTTAGGGTATATACACACAAAACAACCAAATAACAGAGTTATAAAAACGTATAACCTATGGAGAGAATGATGGAATCTCTAGCATCATCACAAGAATAAGATCAAATGTTCAAAGAAAGACCCGAAATCACATACCCTTGAATTCAGCCAACAAAAAGAGACAAAACAATTATCTTATGTATGAAAAATTTAGCCTTCTATTCTTAGATAATATTACACACTGTTGTAGAGGTGTGCCAGTGGGAATGTTATATTCTACTCTTGGGTAGAGATGTCAGTAACATTTTTTTCTTCAGAATATATACTACCTCTATCCCATAATAGTTATTCCATTTGCTACACGAAATCTGTTCCAAAATAATTGCTACATTTGTAAAAATATAAAATAAAAGACCAACATGATTAAAATGAAATATCTTATTAACTGACTGCTTGGAATATCTGTCTATATCTCTGAAATGAGGTATCACGATTACTTACATTATTTACATCATTCGGACTGTTATCCCCGTATTCATTGCCATATTCACAACATTTCAGCCATTGTACACTCCAGCCTTCTTCGGGTGATTGGAATTTCGAACTGAACCCTTTATTTCACCCACCAGGATAGATTGTTCTAGTTCCACATGTGACATCCAGCATCTATTATTTGGGGAAATTTTCCAACATGACCAAGTTTATTAAGACAAGCCTGTTTATCAATTTTGATCTTTTTCAGCTTTTAAATGATTTTCTAACCCCTCTTTTTCTCTACTGCCTATTGAAAAAAATCCTGTTTTTCTCTGCCCTGATTATTAACTCCCCCATATTAAGCACCTAAGTGTACAATGGTGTTGAGGTTACATTTTACTGCCATTTGCTGGATGATATCTAAGTTTTTCTTTATTCCTATGCTTAATATAAAACAGGCAATATTTCTGTTTTTTGTCATTAATTTTTGTGTCAGTTCTAATTAACTTGTTTTGCAATTTAATAGTTTTATTTCCTCAAATAATTTCTAGTGAGTTTTGTTTTGTCTTTGTTTCTTGGATTCATTTTCTCTTTTGAACAATCAAATGCAATCTGCCCTGTAGAAGGGGGGGCAAATCCACTAGTGAATGAAACTCATTCAAATAATTCATCAAATTATGACAACACTTTACACGTCAAATAATAGAATTTGTTTTGCTGCTTGTATTTTATACATGACTTTATCAAGAATTCATGTAGTCCAGTTCAAATGAGGACAGACAATTATATTAGTTGGAAAGGAAAACAAACTTTGAAAAGGAAAAAAAAAATAGAAAAAGTCAATAAAACTAAAATAAAATGGTAAATGTGAATTGCATAAAAGATGAAAACAACTTCAAAAACATTTGTAAATAATTATTATTTGATGAACCCAAAATGTGTAATCAGTTATATAGATATTTCAATGTTTATTCACATTATCCAACAGAATATAAAGAATTATAAGTGAATTTCATTATTTATCAAAGTACATGTAAATCCACTTAGTGTTTTTGAGGATCATTTATAAAATACATCATCCACCAAAAATTTAAAATTTAGCGAACTCACTAGTGCTGTCATATGTATTTTTAGTTTTACTGTAAATGACATCCAAGTCCAATTTTTAATCTATCAGTTTTTTATGCTGTTACTTATTCTAAGAAAGAGAGTAGATTATGTTCCTCAGTTTAACTAAAGCACAAGTAGATAGCTTTTATTTTTTGTTTCAGAATCCATTTTGAAGGTAAAATTTATGAGAACTCTTCAAAATTAAGAACAAAAAAATGGTACTCTATTGGTTTTTTGCATCATTGTAACACAACTTGCAGGATATATTTGGACAAACTGTGAAAAGATTTGAAAAATAAACAGGATTTAGCATCACAAAAATCAATTTGGTATTTATTTAACAGATTCCTTCTATAATATTATTCTTAAAGAAATTTGTTTTTTAATTTTCTTTTTAGTGGAAAAAAACCCACTCTCTGCTCATTTTGTTTAAAAAAGCGAAAGATCAAATATTGGTTTATCAGACCCACTCGTCAACAACTTACCTTAATAGCCTGAATCATTTTGGCCACTTCAACTTTAGTCTTGCCTTTGACACTTTGACCATTGACTCCAACAATCTCATCTCCAGAAGCCAGCTGACCATCTTTAGCGGCAGGGGTATTATCAAAGACTTGCACAACATAAAGACAAGGGCAGAGTGGGGCACCACCTCCAATGCTTATGCCGATCAAATTCTGTGAGTCTTTCTGGAGTGTTACACTACCAGAACTCACAGTCATGCCCCTAAAATAAAAAGAAAGAAAAAAAAATGGAAATCATTATTGGATTGGCTTCATATTGGCTTATTTGCAAGCAGTCAATCTTTTCAAGTCAGTAAAAACAGAAAGAATCTAAACTTCTTGGAATGAGACAAGTTTCACAAGCTGAAAATTTGGAATGCCTGCAAAGTGTAAGCCAATGAACAAAACAACATGTTGGCCAAACACATGACAGGCTAACATGGCATAGGTTATCAATGTTTGCTACCAGTTTTCAGTTGGTAAAACTTGAGCTTTTATCAATGGAAAATGTTTGGGGAAGAAGAATGAGACTGTGTATTTTTCTTCTTTTTAACAGAATATAAGAATGTAAATTCTGACAAATGTTTCAGATTTCAGTTTAGATCAAAAACCAGGAGTACAAGTAGAGTAGAAAAATTCTGCTTCAAACCTAAATGAAATAGAAAAAAAAAAAATTGTAAAAAGATTCAAATACGAGCATTTACTTTTTACCCAGACATTTTATTGTGAATCAGAAATTCTGCTCTACACATACACCTATATTCTGATGGTTTCAGGCATGCTGATAACTTCTTGACCCAAACTGACCCACTTCCCAAATACCAGAATTTTAGAAGGAATCCCTCCTTGGTTGGGCCATAAACTTTTCAGTATCCCCTTACATATCTGGGTAGGAATTCTCAGTCAACAGTAATATGTAATTTAGTACTATTATTAATTTTTGCTAAAATTATAATGTACAAAAACAAATGCTTGAGAAACCTCTGCATCTCTTACTGGGAGCACAAACCCAATGATTCTGTATGGAGCAAGATCAAAAATCTTGTAGAAATCACTTCTCACCACTATTAAGCCTCAGATGTCATGGTTTGGCCATGGCACACAGCATAACAGCCTCTGCAAGGCCATCATGCAAGGCATTGTTGAAGGTGGATGCAAGCAGGGATGTCAACACAAAAGGGTGGACAGATATGGCAATGCTTGAACTCCTGAAAACTACCACCAATTGTCGGTTTCCTCTGCCCTTCAGTAGCTCCCCATCAACAATTGAAGCGAGCAAGGGGGACTGATGATGAGGGACTATATCCCCTGTGTGTGTGGAGAGAGGTGAAGATGTGTACTGTGTTACTCCCTTACCCCTGAGAAGGTCAAAAGTCCAACATCACACCACTTTAAAAGTGCATCTGCCACAAAGCAATGGCTAACAAGCAAGTCTTATAGACCACAGAAAGTGTTGGGAATTCAATCCTCACTGGATACTGAAACATTGTGGCACTGTACCTGACAAAGCTTAGAGTATATGCATCAAGAGATAAAAAAAAAAAAAATTTTAAATAATCACTAAAAGGACCTATTAAAACAAACTTTTTCTGTGGTTTTTAATAAAACGTTTTTAAATTGAAAACTGCTATCAAACACACACACACATATATATATATTGGAGGCACTGTGGAGTTGTTGTAACCTAGGGAAGGTTACTGAATAATAATTACACAAAGGTAGTTAATGAACGATAATACTTAGGACAAGAACAACACATATAAGATTCGCCAGCGGCGTGTAGAAGTAGTAGTCAACTGCTAAGAGTCAAGTGAACTCCACAATGAATTTCCAACTGCAGGATATCTACCAACTGCCCTATGCGGTCAGATGTGGCACAAGGCCGAATTTAATATGGAGTATCTGAGCCTGTATGCTCAGCCAAAAATTTCCCGTAGACCCCTGTATAAAACAGGGATGGGTAGCCGTTTCCCAAAATGAGACTCTGCCTTTCGACATAGCCTCGTCTGGGGAACCTCTCTGTCCAGAGGCAGAGAGTTTGACCAGCACAGCTGGAGATGAATCTCCGACTGCAGACCAACATATAGTATTTACTGCTGTATTTATGCAAATGGGGACATACCCATTATCGTCTGTAGCTATGCTACAACAGGAGTAATGGATAGCAGCTCAGATTAAGGAATTGGCAATCCAATTTCGAATTCTAGTTAGGCTAATAATACCCTTTGGGAAAGGTATGGATCGGTATCTTCTCCTCCCAGTTATGGGTTTAAACTTTAATAGGACAGACTGGGTCAAATTCAAAACAGCTGATTTTACGGTTGAAAGTGAAAGTGTTCTTTTTTTTTTAGCGACTCTAATGCATGCGCGGGCTTAGTTGCAAACAATCGTCTTGTGACTTAGTAAAATGTAAAATTTCCTCTTAAAATTTAAAGTGGAAATCAATTACACAAACTAAAAACCTGTCTCAAAGTTCTTTCGGTGGAAGAATTTAATAATTGTGTTAATAATTATTCATTTAAAATTGTGACAAAAATTACTAATCGCATCCTGCTCAAAGCGCGTAGTAATCCAGTTCCTGATGCCTGCAGTTTCAGCAACATGCTGTTGTAGGCATTAAAAAAAAAAAAAGACAAAAACAAACAAAACAAATGACAGACCTAATGATGTGTGTTAGGTAAAAAGTAAAAATTAATTAATATCTATGGCCGTCCGGAAATTAATTATAAATTAAAATTATTCACAATACCTGTTCTGTGTTAGTTATCAAGTCAAAAGTTCTTAAATATTCTTACACGATCTTGCAGAAGAACAAGAGAAAAATTAATACTTTTATCTTCATATTCCAATTTGATTTTTTTATCTTAATTATTTGGCCACGTTAAAAAATCTTAAAACAAATGTATGAAAAATCCATTAACCAACAACAAAAATTACACTTTTAAACAATTTTCTGGCCATTTTTATCGAAACCATGACTCAACTGTGTAAATTAATTGTCTGTCGAGAAAACTAACAACATTGAATCTTACTTTTTTTTTCTTTCTACTAATTCTTGACCAGTAGAAATAGATTTAAAAACATTTTTAAACAATTCAAATATTTAAATACGTAAGAAACTTAGCACAAATCATTTGAATTTTTTTAAATTTAAAAAACCGAATGTCCTGTAAAAAAAAAAAAAATGAAACAGCAACCCTAATTTTAATTAGTTTTTATTTACTTTTTAATTGAAATGACCGATTGTTTGACCATGAAGGGACTTTTTGAAAACTAAACTAAAACATTATTTGTTAAATTCTGATTTCCTGTAGTTTTATAGCTAAAAATAATGGGTGGTCGAAAAACATTTAAAAATCAATAATTTGCTGCGATTAAGAAGGAAAGAGAGTTTTAAAAAAGCTTATAAGTTTACTTTTTAAGTTTTAGTAGTGCAACAGAAAATGCTAAAAAAGTTTGCTCAGAATATGAGCAGGACAAAAAGGGATTTAATCACTTGGGATTATGTTTTTTTTTTTTTAAGGAGACGTTGATATAATTTGTTGATTATTAATTTTACATTAAGTTAAAAAAAAAAAATCAAACCAAATATATTTTTAAGTAACTTTTAGTAAAAAAAAAACGTCAATATAAAAAATAAAATGTGTAACCAGAACCTCAAGTTGTGTTTCAGTTTAGTTGTTTTTTTTTTAAGTTTAGTTTATTTCAAGGAAAGAAATTGAAAAAAAAAAAAACAACAAAAAAAACTGGTCCTTTTTTTTTCGTGAAAAGAAAAGTCCGCACCTTCAGAAATCGAGAAAAAAAATCGCATGGCATGTAATCGGGGGCGGGGGGTTAAAGTAACATCCAGCCGGACCGAGTCAATTTTAAAATGAAGTAAATAAACAAAAAGTTTTAAACTTTTCGCAAATAATAAAACAAACATCAGTTCTCAATCCAATCATCAAACTAGAAAATGTTTGTTTTTTTCTTTTCTTTAGATAGAAATAAGGAAAATTAAAAACAAAACAATATAATTTCTCTAGTAGTGTGTGAAGGGGGGGCAGTACTAGTAAGTAAGTAAGCGACTGGCGGAGAAGAAACTTTGCTAGTCACTCACCAAGTATCTTCCCAGGGTAATGGAGTATGCTTATTCTTGTCGGAAAAGAAATCATCGATGTCCATGCTTGGTAGTCGTTGGTACTGCCAAGGGGAAAATGACATCAGTCTCAACAAGCGACCTCAAAATAGGCACAACAATAGGAAACTACGCCCCGTTTCGTCTCTCAAAGGGAAACGTGCATAATTAAAAAATGTAACAGATGTACATTTCTCTCTCTCTCTCACACACACACAAATTAACACAGTAGCTGTCGGTCATGATTGCGTTGGCTCTGAACTAAAAAGTTTGTCAACTTAGTTGACAAAACTTTTTTCGACTAACACTAAACACTAAAACAGTAATGAGCTTCCTTTCCTTTCAGAAAAAAGACTTCAAATAATTTTTATTTTTCGAAACTTGAAAAATAAATAAACGAAATGTATGAAAACTGTTATTAATTTAAAAAAATAATTTAATTAAATTACAAGATTTTTGAAGATAAAATTTTATTTTAAATCAATTTTTACTACAGATTTCCAATGAAATATACATCAATAAGCGGAAGCCCATATAAAGAAAAAAAAAAGCAGCATTTAAAAAAAATTAATAAATAAAAACTCCGTTGTCCAGAGGCATTTATGCGGGTTCAAGTCGCGTCATCAGTGCTTAGCCGAAGCTTTTTTTCTTTTTTTACATTTTTTTCTCTTGAAGAAATTCAAATCCTTCCGCATATTATGATAACCGTGTTTTTGTTTTGTTTTGTTTTTTTTTCTTTTCCTTCTCTTCCCAAAGAAGAGAAAAAATGATCAGGGAGTGTGCATTTTATTTCTTAATATTGTTCTTTGAATTCAATTTTTATTTTTTTAACACCATTTCTGATTTTTTTTGTATTATTCGACATCTATGAAACTAGCAAAACTCTTTTTAATAATTCAAATAGGTAATTAATTATTATTAGTAGTAGTAGTATCCCATAAATAGAGAAAAATCAAAAAATAAATTTTTTATCATCACGTGACAGAACGAAGAATCTTTTTTTCATCAGAAAATATTTTATAAATTTTTCTCTTCAGAAGAAAGAAAATTCCAAAGTCTGATTTTCATTAGTGGCTCTTTGGAATGGTGCAGAAAAAATGAATGAA